TTTCGTCGGCCGCCGCCATCTCCACTCTCAGGGGCTATTAGTACTTAGTCCCGCGCACGCGCAGGCTCCCCGCAGCCTCTGAGAGGGAGTGCGCCTGCGCGACTTTGAGGGCGGAGGGAGGGGGCAGGCGGAGTCTGCACACCTGTGGGGGCGGGGCATCCCTGCTGCCCGCCTGACTCCCCCGAGTGTGCTACGTGGAGCAGAAGAAACATTGCCTGCTTTTCCAGAAATGCATGCTGCTTATTACAAATAACATTGACTGAAACCGGGAAACATTAAGTTCTAATTACATCCACCATTTAGGGGTAGTTTTTAGAACAATCTGGCACACCGAAGTTTCCCACTAACATTCAACGGTTAAGGTTTGAGAAGCACAACCCTGTGGTTCTAATCTATTGATTATATATTTATTTAAGCTGGGGAACCTACATAAAGCAGACAAATGTTCAGATCTACTAGTTGAACTGGAGATAGAAACCTCAAGCCATTCTTATTGCCCTTCCCCTCAGATCTCTCTTGCTCCCTATGTATTGATCTTGTGCAGGTGATAAAATCTCAGATTCTATGTAACACCAAAAGCACAAGCAGGGAAGTTAAAAATTAGATAAACTGGATAAATTGAAAACTTGTGCATTAAAGGACATTATTAAGAAAGCGAAAAGACAACTTAGAGAATGGCAGAAAATATTTGCAAATCATATATCTGAAAAACGTCTAGTAGAATATACTGGGTGTCCCCAAAAAATGTATACACACATAAAGTCAGTGTTTATTAACATACAGTTAATTTTCAAAATTAAGTTATCAGCTGTTAAAGTATGTATACATTTGGGGGGACACCCTATATAAATAACTTACAATCCACTAACAAAAAGGCAAATAACCAAGTTTTTAAATGAACAAAGGGCTTAAGTAGACACTTTTCTAAAGAAGATATACAAATGACCAACAAGCACATGAAAAGATACTCATCATTAATTTTTAAGGAAGTGCAAATCAAAAGCACAATGAGAAACCACTTCTCACCCAATAAGATGACTAGAACCAAGAAGAAAAAAAAAAACACAGAAAATAGTAAGCTGACAAAGATGTGGAGAAATTGGAACCCTCATGTGTTGCTGGTGGGAATGTAAAATGATGCTGCAATAGAAAAGTTTGGCTATTCTTCAAAAAGTTAAACATAGAAATACCATATGAGTCAGCAATTCCACTCCTGAGTATATACCCAAAATAACTGAAAGCAGGAGTTAAAACAAAAACTTACACACAACTTTTCAGAACAGCACTATTCATAATAACTCAAAACTTGAAACTACCCAAATAGCCATCAAGTGGTTAATGGATAAACAAAATGTGGTATATCCATTCAAAGGAATATTATGCAGCCATAAAAGGAAGACAGTACTGAAACATGCTACAACATGGATAAATCTTGAAAACATGCATTCCTTTTATATGAAAAATACAAATAAGCAAACTCATAGTGACAGAAAGCAGATTAGTGGTTGCCAGGGCTGAGGGAAGAGGGGACTGGGGAATGACTGCTTAATGAGTATAGGGTTTCCTTTTGGGGTAATGAAAATGTTCTGGAACTAGATAGTGGTGATAGTGGCACAATACTGAATATACTACATGTAACTAATAGTGAATTTTATTTTATAATAAATTTTAAAACAACTCAAATTGTGAATGGGCCCAGGCAGTTAATGAAAGTTAATGAACCTGGCCAGGTGTGAGACTTGGGCAAACTGGAGTGTGAGGGCGCCTCTTAAAGGGGTCAGCTACTACACAGCTCCCATGGGCAGTTGTCAAGACAGAATTTGGGCCCAGTGTTGCCAGATTGCCCAGTGCTTCAAGAAAAGCAACTGCTTCTTAAACTTTAATGTACATATTAGTCATCTGGTGATCTTGTTTAAGTGCAGATTCTGATTCAGTAGGTCTATGGTGGAACCTTAAGAATGTGCATTGCTGCCCGGCCAGCGCGGCTCAGCAGTTGAGCATCGACCTATGATCCAGGAGATCCCAGTTCAATTCCCGGTCAGGGTACATGCCTGGGTTGCGGGCTCAATCCCCAGTCGGGGGTTGTGCAGGAGGCAGCCGATCAATGACTCTCTCATCATTGATGTTTCAACTCTCTCGCTTTCCCTCTCCCTTCTTCTCTAGGAAATCAATAAAAATATATTTCTTAAAAAAGAATGTGCATTGCTAACAAGCTTCCTCATGGGACTGCAGCTCCACTAACCACACTTTGAATAGTAAGGGCCCCGCTCACAGGTTCTCAAATTTGGCAGCACATTGGAAGCATCTGGGAGTTAAAATAGCACATGCTTAGGCCCTACCCCCAGAGATTCTGATGTCATTGGTCGGGGATGGGATCTGGGCATCGGAATTTTGTAAAGCACCCTCCCTACCCCTACCCCCTTACCCCTAGATAACTCTAATGGGCAGCAAAACTTGAGAGCCAGAGGTAACCTTTTGAGAATAATTAGCCCCTAGAGCCTCCTCCCCAACCAAGCGTTCGGAGCTTGAATACTGAAGGACTCGGACTGCAGCCCGGACGCTGTACAGGCCCTAGGATTTTGTAACTCTTGACAACCTGCTGGGTCTCCTCTTACGGGTAACTCCCTCTTCCTTGGCTTTCTGACCTTTGTTAGCAAGTTTCATGTAACAGGGTCTGAATTGTTAGCTGGGGCCTCAACCAAGCTAAAACGAGACTCCTCCTCTAGAGAAAAGAAGAGTGCATGTCCCAATCTGTACACCTCCCGGTGACAGAGGCCGTGGGGCTTGCCCAGAGCGCGGCGGCATGAGTCATCTCGATGGGGGCACAAAAGGAAAATAGGCGAGGAGAACAGACGGGTGAATGTACCCTTGCCTCTCCCCATTCGCAGTCTCGGGGAAAACCTGTAACTACATCTATCCTCCTGCTTTGTACCTCTCATCTCCCAGGCCAGCTGGATCCCGGCTGAAAGAGGAGTGATTAACAAAGCACAGAAAGCAGAGAGAGCCCTAACCCAGGCCTGAGGAGCAGCAGGCAGGTACAAATGGGAGCCAGGAAGGGGGGTGAGAAACTTGGCAGTGTTTCCTCACAGGGCCTCCAGTCTAAGAGCATTACTATGGTTACTCATGCTGAGATGACAGGATGTGAACATATTTGTCTTTATTATCTAGTAAATAGTACATGTGTGTGGCTTTCTTTTTTATTTTTATTTTCACCCTGATTCCCCCCAGGCTTTACCCCTTAATGTGGTCACTTTGAACATCTCTGAACATTGTTGGCATCAATTCACAATAGGAGAACATCTGGTGGGAAGCAGCATGCCAAGGGCGAAACTGTCTAGGACAAGGGTGCAGAAACACAGAAATTAGTCTGATCCTGTTGACTTAGGCTGTATTGATTTAGTAATCCAGGAAATGCAGTCTCTTTTTGCTGTGATTGACCAGGCAAACACTCCCAGAGAAACTTAGATTTCAACCTCCATGAACCAAAAGATAAAGGGATTAAGAAGAAAAAAAATCATATTGGAAATCTGATCAATAAAATGTCTGTGTGTGTGCAAAGGGATTTAGGAAACATCTTAAAGCCTCCCAAGAATTTTCTTTCCAAAAGCAATAAGGAGTAGGAGGGTCCAAATGGTTCAGCTAAGGACAGGGCCTAGAAAAAATGACCACCAGCACTGGAATTCCAAATCCTTTGTCACTCATAGACC